ACTAGGGTCAGGCAGTGTTATTCAAACCACTGTACTGTAAACTATTATATACAATCACTAGTAGTGGTAATTAGTTTTGTCTGTATATTGAAACAACATATAAGGACATGTATTGAAATATACTTGTTTGAAAGTTTAAAGAAATGATATTCAAGTACTGAAAAGCTTTCATACTATCATATCTACAGTATTGTTCAAATGTGCCTGTGCTGGACTGAAGGCAAGATAGTTTACAGCAAATGTACGAAGTTCATGCTACTAAACTCATGATTTATTCAACACAATAAACAAAATTGTGGCTTGAACATAAACTTGAAATAAAAATCAATTTATGAAACAAAATTAAAATGTTTTTTATGTACATATATAAACATGAAATCCTAGTTTATTGTTTAAGTTTACTTAGAAATATTATTTTTAGGTCTTGTATATTATTTGAAACCATAAGGAGAATACGTGATTATTAAAAACATTATAAATAGATAAAGTTTGCATTTTATGGATGATAAAAAGTTTTTCGAGATTTTAAAATAATGTACTGAAACATAAAAAGTAATAAGTTCAAATCTGTAACAAATATAAATATTGTAATCATTTCTTATAAGTATCATTTCCTAATGTAATTTTCCAAGATATTAAAGATCATAATGGAAAATAACTAAATTTATCAGAAGTAACAGGCTTTATGTTTCTTAAACTACATGCATTTATGAAAGTTCTTATGAAGTTTCAAACAATTTCATCCACTAGTTTTATTGTTTGAATGAAATATAGCAAGACTTGTGTTGGCTACTCAGAAAGTTAGTAGCTGGTGGTCATCGGGTTAGTATAGTTTCAACTTTCCAAAATCTTGACCTAACCACACCTCACAAACCTGTAATTAAGCAAGGATATCTTAATAGTGCTTCAACTTTCTAAGTCTCTGATCTAACCACAACTCGCAAACTTGTCATAAAGCTAGCATACTTCCAAATAAATGGATATATAATACTGAAACCTAATTGAACAATATAACTAATGGATGTAAATAATTCCTTAAAAAATAATTCAATCTGCTGCAGGAATGATGTAGAACATCATTATAATACGCTCATACATATGTAGGGCTTTACATCACTTCCTTCTTCTCGTCTGTCATTGTCTGGTGATACTTCATTCAGTCAACTCTATGGTGGTAGCACATATTAACCACCAAGGTGTACCCGGTCCAGAGACCACTGTTTTTGTATTTTAGAGCTCTTATACAGGGCCCATGCATGTCACATTAGTCTTATCACATGTCATGTGCCTGGTGCTTTCAATCTCGTCTCAGATTGTCTTTCTATACTACAGAATGGACATTGGATCTTATCATTTTCTGGGATTTTTGCCATCTTTGGAGTTCTCCCCAATTAGATGTTTTTGCCATGAGCCTCAATTCCAAATTGCCCCTCTTTTGGTCACTTGTACCTCATTTCCATGCCTTGGCATTCGATGCTTTCAGCCAGGATTGGTCTGTGTGTGTGCTCTCCAATCTGGCTGCTTCATTAGGTGATTTCTCCAGTCCATTTCACTCCTTGCTGAGTCCTCCTGATAGCACCCTTTTCGCTGGCACAACCTTGGTTTCCCAGATTACAGTGTCTGCTCCTGACACCACCAGTTCCTCTTCCACTTTCTCCCTACCTTCTTTTTCAGTGTTCTACATCCCAATCTTTCAGGATGTAGGGCAGCCCTATCTCATACTTTCTATTTTTCCTGATACCATAAGGTTTTTTGTCCTATTCTTACTGTGCTCGTGCAGTCCTTAAGGATTTGATGGCCGCCGAGGGGGCTTACCCTTCCAGATTGGGACATTAATGTGGTCCTTCATGACCTCAATTTACCTACATTTGACCCACTTACCTCGTGCTCATTGTTTCATCTGTCCCCTAAAACTTCTTCTTCTGTTGGCCTGGTGTTGTTGACGGTCAGATCTGTTTGCTATAGACGTATCACCTGCTCTTTATCATCCACCTATCTTCTCCTTCATCCCGATTGTTCCTTTCTCCATAAAACCTTGGCAGCACTGGAGGGTTGTTCAAACTTTTCTCCTATTTTGCTGCTTTTTATATCCAATCTTTACCGTTGACTGCATCTCGATAGACTTCTGTGTCCAGTCAGGCCGTTTGTATGTACTGCATATTTTTGGGGTACTCGCAACCATCTATTTATCCTGTAGCAATCCTCCTCTGTTTGTGATCTTTTCCCTTCTATCCTAACGAATTGGGTCTGCTTTTGGGTTTTTTTAGCCTACTCTTCCCTTCCTTCTTCCTCCCGTACCTTGTTTCGATGTTTCCTTCTATCGAATCAGACATCTCACCTTTTCTCTCGTCTTTGTCGTCTGATGGAGGAGATTCTCCAATCCAGCTTGTAGACCTCTCCGAATATGTTTATTTCCCTCTACCTTTATCTTATCATGCTTTCCTCTGGGTCAAGGTTTCATCTATTCCTGTAGCCATTCTCCAGACTTTGGTGTGACTTTAACTGGTCAAATTTCTTCTTTTATTTTTTCAGGGGCCTTTTTTTTCCCCCTTTTTATCACAGATCCCACTCTGTGGCAAGTGGTGCCTGTCCAGGTATTCTTTAGCTCTAAATCCGCACTGTTCGCCATGTTCACTCACACTTTCTAGTCCATGGCTATGCACACTCACCATAGAGATGGGGTGTTCCACAAGATTACTTATAGGTGAATAGCCTTGTGATGTCATTGTTTCATAACAATGTAACATAACTCATAACTCATTCCAGACCATACCAGTCATGAACTACATGGGTAAAGCAGAAGGGGATTGCTGCCCATATCTCACATGAATAACCAGGTATGGTCTGCTTTTCAAAATAGGGTTTTGTGATCACCCATTGTACTGTCTCTGGTGATGGCGTTCCTCCAGTCTCTCCAACACGTAGTCACCGTCCTTTCTTAGAATGGAGTATGGGAGTCCTTGCCACTTTCAGTTCCAAGTTGCTAGGGTGGTGGTCCATAGAGGCACCCTCCTGAATGAGTTCACCAGACCATTCAGTTGAGAGTAGGGTGGTGGTGGTCTGCTGGTGTAGATGCAATGTGGCCTCCAGAGGAGTTGAGCTGTCACCTTTCTGGTTGACATGGCCTCCTGATCATGTTACACACCAACACTGGAGTTGAGCCATCTCCTTCTGGGATGATGTGGCCTCCCACTACCATTTACACAACTAATGGAGTTGAGCTGTCACCTTCTAGTTGAGGTGGCCTCCTTATCCCTATTACACTCATGGGAGTTGAGCTGTCGCTTTCTAGTTTGATGTGGTTTCCTGCTACTATTTAGAAAACCAGGGGAGTAGAGCCGTCACCTTGCGAGATCTTGTTGCCTCCTGCTTCACACTTATAGTTCACCCTTCAATTGTATGCCCTCATCCTACCTTCACGTGGATGTCAGTTTCTGGCATTGAGGTTTTGGATTAGAGTGAATCAATTAACATAATTTCTTCCACAGAGGCAGGTTGTCTTTCATCCTCCCTCAATTGCTCCTTCTGTGTCTTTTGTCACAGTGTAATTAGTGGTTCCAGTGCTCTCCTGGACTATCCCTCGTTCTTCTTCTGGAGATGCTATTTGTCTTTGGATGGTACTGGCCTGTGCCATGGTTGGGGAGTTGATTCCATTTGATGGACATCATGTCTCTGTGGCATACTCAAATATTGGTATGGGTCTTAAAACCCCAATTTTTGGGTTTGAGGTGAAGATGGTATGATCCTCATCTTACTCTTGCATAGATGTTGCTACCCCATTATGAAAAGTTTGCATATAGAGGACAGCACTGAATGAGAATAGCTAAACTTGTGACATGAGGGAAGTACCTATTGGAAATACATTTTCAGTATAGGGAATTGTATTTGTTTTATGGTGATTGTGAATGTGCTACTGTTCAGACATTGCAATACACAGACTAGGGCCTGTCACTGAAAAGAAATACAGTGCTTGAAAGATGTTACTTAATTTGCATTGGTTTCTCTACTTATTTTATAATTTATGCTCCTAGGTATTAATTAGTCAGCTCTTATTAATGTGGATTTGTCTTTTTTTTTCAACATCATATTACAGTCTTTTATTTGTAATGTATTTAAGTTATTATGAAATTAGATTAATACAATGGTTCTGTATTTCTGTTAGAATGTCATGAAATATAAACAAATTTGATAATATATAGACATCTTTATACTATGCCAAACAATCTCATCGGGAGAGAGAAGAATTGATAAAAGTTCCATAACTTATAAACACTAAGACATTGAAAAACTAATGGAGAGTTTAGACTACGTGATCCAGTTTTACAATGTGTCTAAAGAAGTTGAAGCTATAATTCGGGATGGGTAAGTAAAGTAAATTATTTATTTCCTCTTTTTAACCTTGTTCATAATTTAATTGGTTTGTTGTTGTGCTGTAGAATTAGTTAAAACATTCAGAATAAATGTTTTGCTAACTTTATAGATTTGTTACATATCTGCTTATTTGTTAATTTCCGGTATAATTTCTTTCCGAGGAACTTCAGCGATACAAGTCCCTTCTTGATTAAAATTAGTTTATTCTTTCTTGATACAAACTTTTTGTAATACACAGAATTTCCACAGTCACTTTAAACCTAACTAATTTTATAAACACATGCTATAAATCACAGTGATTCACACACTTTACTTGCGGTGCCTACTGTTCACTTGACTAAATTATCTATCTCTGCCCTTGCGCTGGTTTTTCTCGCCAGGCATATATACTAAAAAAGAGGGCGTCTAGCAAACACTCGGGCATTCGCGGGGTTCCCCGATAATTCTAGAAATTCCAGTGCACATGCTCCCAGCATCACGCGACTTCCTCTGTCGTAACAGATAGTTCATAAAAGCAACAAAACAAACAAACAGGCAAATCACTCTAGGGACAGAGAAAATCAAAAAGGTTTCAACCACTTTGAATGGAAACAGTTGTAGGTAAATGTAAATGGGACCCAAGAAACATTGTTTGAAGTCAACATCATTGTTGTTAGTTTAAAAGAAGCTTTGTTTTTAGTGCAAAGTTGGGATCAGACTGTATGTTTTAGTTATTAGAAATATCATCAAGATTAAGATATATGTCTTTATTCTTTGTTGTATAGAAGGAGTTATGGCTTATGTACCAAGAATGTCATTTTACTTGTGGTTTTTGTTAACTATGATCGAGTGACAAACATGAGGTGTTCATGTACTGCTAAGGTTAGTTGTAACTATTTACTCTGATATGTAATTCTGTAACAGGAGAATTCATGACTTCATATGATATTGGACGTTAACATTTTCCAGTACAAACACACACACACTTCCCATCCTTCTTCCCCACTTCCAGTGCATCTTTTCTTACCTAATCTTGAAGTAGTGATTGAACAATAAGTATAGAGGGAGTCAGCTGTGTTAGGAGGGTGTGTTGCACTCCTGTGGTGGAGGGTTGTCACATACTTACTTGCATGTCACAATACAGCAGTATCACGTAGAAATGTTAGTTTAGGGGGGAGCCTCAAGGCTAGTGGAAAGTAAACAACTTTGTACATAGAGGGCAACACTAAATTGGGAAAGCTATATGGGAGAAGAGTTGAATATCTATCGGAAATTCATTTTTATTCTTGGAAAAGGTTAACTCTTGCTTCTAGTTGTGTAAGGATAATAAACGTCTAGAGTTAATGGTAGGCAAACTATTGCTTCTAGTTGTTTAAGGATAATAAACATCTAGAATTATTGGTAGGCAAACTCTTGTTTCTAGTTGTGTAAAGATAATAAACATTTAGAATTAATGTTAGGCAAACTCATGCTTCTAGTTGTGTAAGGATAATAAACATTTATAGTTAATGTTAGGCAAACTCATGCTTCTAGTTGTGTAAGGATAATAAACATCTAGAGTTAATGGTAGGCAAACTCATGCTTCTAGTTGTGTAAGGATAATAAACATCTAGAGTTAATTGTAAGCAAACTGTTGCTTCTAGTTGTGTAAGGATAATAAACATCTAGAGTTAATGGTAGGCAAACTCTTGCTTCTAGTTGTGTAAGGATAATGAACATCTAGAATTAATGGTAGTCAAACTCTTGTTTCTAGTTGTGTAAGGATAATAAACATCTAGAGTTAATGGTAGGCAAATTGTTGCTTCTAGTTGTGTAAGGATAATCAACATCTAGATTTAATGGTAGGCAAACTCTTGCTTCTAGTTGGGATAGGACAGTCGCTGGTTCTGATATAACCAATTTAATTTTTCTTGCTTGAGGTTCTATTTAAACAAAGAAAGTGGGAAGAGTACATTCTGCAAGTACACACACACACACTCACTCACTCACTCTGAGCATCCAATTTATAATCAATATTAGTTTCAGGCTTTCCTTACTGGTGGTTCCATTTGTATGATTAAAGTTCTCATGCAACAGTAAAGTAATAATCAGAATAATAATAAGAAACTTAACTCTGCTTTCACATCACAATTGTAAGTGCATATTTTTAGGCTGTGAACACAAATGTGGAAAAGGCGGATAGTTTTTGTTTCGATAGTTGACATGATCTATTGTGTGGTGGTACCCCTACAAAAAATGACTTTCTATAAGAAGAAAGCGAGAGTCGACTATTGTCCCATTTGACAGTCATATCTAAAAAATTTAGCTGTCTGTCTTTTTCCATCTATAATGTAAATCTGATGGTAGGACTGATTGAATTAAGATGTTTTTCAAAGTCCCAATGTCACTCCATCACACTGTAATGTGTTGTCTACATACCTTGACCACACTAAAAAGTGTAGTCTACATATTTTAACCACACTAAAATGTGTCATCTACCTATCTTAACCACACTAAAATGTGTCATCTACATATCTTAACCACACTAAAATGTGTCATCTACATACCTTAACCACACCAAAATGTGTCATCTACATACCTTAACCACACTAAAACGTGTCATCTACATACCTTAACCACACTAAAATGTGTCGTCTACATACCTTACCCATACTAAAACGTGTCGTCTACATACCTTAAACACACTAAAATGTGTCATCTACATACCTTAACCACACTAAAACGTGTCATCTTCATACCTTAACCATACTAAAATGTGTGGTCTACATACCTTACCCATACTAAAATGTGGTGGCCCGGCATGGCCAGGTGAATAAGGCACTCGACTCGCAATCTGAGGGTCGCGAGTTCGAATCCCCGTCCCACCAAACATGCTTGCCCTTTCAGCCGTAGGGGCATTATAATGTGACTGTCAATCCCACTATTAGTTGGTAAAACAGTAGCCCAAGAGTTGGCGGTGGGTGGTGATGACTAGCTGCCTTCCCTCTAGTCTTACACTGCTAAATTAGTGATGGCTAGTGCAGATAGCCCTCGTGTAGCTTTGCGCGAAATTCAAAAACAAACAAACAAACTAAAACGTGTCGTCAACATACCTTACCCATACTAAAATGTGTCGTCTACATACCTTAACCACACTAAAATGTGTCATCTATGTACCTTAACCACACTAAAATGTGTCATCTATGTACCTTAACCACACTAAAATGTGTCATCTATGTACCTTAACCACACTAAAACATGTCATCTACGTACCTTAACTATGCTAAAATGTGTCGTCTACATACCTTAACCACACTAAAATGTGTCCTTTACATACCTTAACAACACTAAAGTTTTCACTTCATACATGTTAAACATCTTCATTTCAAAATTGAACATAAATAATTCATATAAAAGAGGGAACAGGGGAGACCCGATCGTTAAACCCTTAATCTGTTTACAAAATTTATTTCCCATCTTAAGCATTTGATACAAACTCATGAATAAGCTTTAAAACTTTGTTCACCTCAAGCAGAGAAAGCTTCTTTCTCTTTAGTAATTTATTTTCAAAACAATCCTGAGCCTTCTTAACTGGAACATTCATAAATAGTGACACAATGTCAAAAAAGACTAATTTGTCATTTAATTCTATATTTATCCCTGAGATTTTGTTCAGAAAATCAAATGATTTTTCTACTGTATATTCATGAGAGGTTCTTAAAAATGAACATTTTCAACAATTAAATTTTGATAAAGAATAAAATGATGAATCTATATAGTCCATAACTGGATGAAAGGTATACCAATTTTGTGGATTTTAGGCAGAGCAAAGAATGTTGGTAAACTGAACCTTGAGGATACAAGGTCTTTCCTTTCTTGTGGTGTCAAAATAGGACAATTTTTAAATACAATTTTTAACCTATTATGAATCACGGGTCCTTTTGTATTTGTTCTTAAGAACCATCCTCTAACAATTCTTTGATTTTGTTATGGTAAACTCTTTTATCCAATATTATGACTTTACCACCTTTATCTGCTTTAATGATTACAATTTTATAATTTTTCTTCAATCCTCTTAACTGTTCTACTTCATCCTTACTTAAGTTTAGTTTAGGTTTACCCTTCTGGTTCAATAATTCCTTGGATACTTCTCTTCTAACCGCATGCTTCATCCTTTCATTTACTTTTAATCTTTTACAATATGCTTCTGTTGATACAATAAAGCTAATAATAAGATTCTGGTCTTAGAACATGAGTACAATAAATTATTGTCAAACTCTAAAGTTCTTAACTTGTCAAATGAGAATGTGTCATCCAACAAATGGAAATTTTTAGTTTAGGCTTAAATTTTTCAGTTAACAACAGTTGTTCAGTCGAAGATGACCTTATTCTTGAAAAGCTATACACATCTTTCCAGTTGACAAGTTATCATGGTAGAAAAGCTATATACATCTTTCCAGTTGACAAGTTATCATGGTGGAAAAGCTATATACATCTTTCCAGTAGACAAGTTATCATGGTAGAAAAGCTATATACATCTTTCCAGTAGACAAGTTATCATGGTAGAAAAGCTATATACATCTTTCCAGTAGACAAGTTATCATGGTGGAAAAGCTATACACATCTCTCTAGTTGACAAGTTATCACGGTAGAAAAGCTATACACATCTCTCTAGTAGACAAGTTATCATGGTAGAAAAGCTATACACATCTCTAGTAGACAAGTTACCATGGTAGAAAAGCTATACACATCTTTCCAGTTGACAAGTTATCATGGTAGAAAAGCTATATACATCTTTTCCCTTGACAAGTTATCATGGTAGAAAAGCTATATTCATCTTTCCAGTGGACAAGTTACCATGGTAGAAAAGCTATACATCACGGTATAAAAACTATACACATCTCTCTAGTAGACAAGTTACCATGGTAGAAAAGCTATACACATCTTTCCAGTACACAAGTTATCATGGTATAAAAACTATACACATCTCTCTAGTAGACAAGTTACCATGGTAGAAAAGCTATACACATCTTTCCAGTACACAAGTTATCACGGTATAAAAGACTATACACATCTCTCTAGTAGACAAGTTACCATGGTAGAAAAGCTATACACATCTCTTCCAGTATACAATTTATCATGGTATAAAAGCTATACACATCTCTAGTAGACAAGTTACCTTGGTAGAAAAGCTATACACATCTTTCCAGTGCACAAGCTACAATGGTAGAAAAGCTATATACATCTTTCCAGTTGACAAGTTACCATGGTAGGAAAGCTATACACATCTCTCCAGTTGACAAGTTACCATGGTAGAAAAGCTATACACATCTCTCTTGTAGACAA